AATTTGTAAACCATCTAACGTAGCTCAAGATTAAAATGTGTCACAAGTGCTATAATAATCCTAAAAGAGTTTCATAAAAATTGGAGAAAAAATCTCTTTAAAATCAATGTCTTTCTTTTGAGTAAAATCATTTGCAACAAAACGAGCATTGTATCTCTCCGCGTCACCCTTCAAATCCCTCTTGGTTTTAAATATTCATTTACAACCAATAGGCTATACACCTTCAAGTAATGGGATGAGTTCCCAAACGACATTGTCTTTCATGGATTTTATCTCTTTGTTTATTTATAGCATCAATAAACTCTTGAGAATTTTTCTTTTGCATGGCTTTTTGAAAGTTGATTGATCAAATCTTTTTCCCTCAATCTAATGACATCCTTATTTTCTTGGAGAAACACTATAAAGTCATCCGGGATTGCCTATCTCCTTTCTCTAGTAGATTTCCTTAATGACATTTGTTCTTGAGGTTATTGAGTTTTTTTTTTTTTTTAGAATAATCTTTTGATTGTATGTGGGGATTTTATAATATTGTTTTGATTCGAAATTGTTTCTTGAACAATATCTGGAGCAAGAATGTCCTTCATCTTGATCATTGTCAATTGCAATAGAAGGGATATATACATATTCTTCTTCAAATACAAAATTGTTAACTTTAAAACCTTATCCCCGCAAACTCCACATCCTAAAAAAAGAACATTTCCCATTTCGAAAAATTGACCTAATAGTGCGATTTTTAAAAATTTGTAATCCCTTAACAGTTGCTTTACTTGAAACTTTATTGACAATTTAAGATGCAATCTTTAGCGTTTCTTATGGGAGTGATTCTAGTAAGGTGAAATGACTAATCATACTCATTGTCATGTCTTTTAAGTATTCTGTTTCGTCCCTCAGTAACACTATTCATGTTAGGGGACCCTAGCATGGTGTATAGTAGGACGATTCCACATTCCTTTAGGAATTTATCAAAAGGCCTGGGACATTATTCTCATGATCCATCGTATCTGTCATAGTATTCACCACCACAGCCATATCGACATGTTTTATTCTTTTGAGTTGATTTTCAACCTCAGCCTGTAAACCTTGAATATCGACGTCTTAGATTTCTCATGAATGAGATAAGGTGGCTATAACGAGAAAAATCGTCTATGAACGTAATAAATAACTGTTGACCATTCTAAAAAGTCGAAGGGAATGACCCACAGATATCCGTATGAATTTAGTTCTAAGACGTCTGAAGTTCTATTGGCATCTAATCTCCTTATACTTGTCAGTTTTCCATTAATGTAATTAATATAAACACTTAAATGTGAAAAATCAAGGGGATGAAGAATTCCTTCTGACACAAGCTTTTACTTTTCCTTTTAAGAGATGTGATCGGATCACTTGTGTCATAATGAAACGAAATTCTCATTAGTTAATTTATGTTTAATACCACGTGAATTCACATGCAATGTTTTATTACAAGAGGCAAACTAAATTAAGCAAATATAGGTTATCATAACTAGATAAATAATTGGTACCCACAACATTTGAATTAAGAAAGTGATAGTTGACTCTTTTCAAATAAACAAGAGTATCGAATTTGTTCAATATAGATATAGAAACCAAATTCCATCTAAAAGACGGTACCAAAAATGTTTCTTTCAAATCCAAATAANNNAAATCCAAATAATAATCAATCTTTAATGATAGCCTAGAAGTCCCTATAGCATCAACTTTTAGCTGATTTTCATCGCCCCACATAGATGAAACTTTCACTATCAATTGACTTTTGATTATTCAGGCAACCTCGCATAGACAAACTTATTTAAATAGTGGCACTAGAATTTATACACTAAATGTATCTTGGTATTGAAATTAAATTAACCTTAGAACAAACCGAAGTGAGAAGTGTACTTTTCTTTACAAGCCAAGTATGGTATTTAGTACAATCTTTCTTTATGTGTTCCAGATTTTTACAAAAGTAACATCTAGATGATTTATCTTTTCAGGTTTTTGTTTCTTTTGAGCTGAACAAGATGTAACTTCCTTATTCTTTAATTTGTCCCTAGAGGTAAATTGCCAAGTGAGTACTTTCAGCTCTCTCTTGATTTAGCATTTCTTCTTCTTACACACAATATGAAATGAGTTCATTAAGAGTCAAATTCCTCCTTTTAACAGTCGTAACTGGCCTCAAAATATTAGAATTGTACGAGAATAGAAATCAAAACTAAATGCACGAGCAAGTCGTCAGACAATTCAAACTTTAGTACCTTAAATTTTGTAGTAAGATGAAACATCTCCATGATGTATTCTTTTATTTTTTCTTTAATCTCATACTTTAGTGCAACCAAGTTCGCCAGAAGCGTATTAGTTTCGACCTTATCGCCTTTTGTAAAGTGTTTTTCAATTTCTTGGCAATAATTACCTTATCGGACATAGCTTTCCCTGAATGTTGCTCAAATTCCATGCTGCATGATTGTAAGACTTGCGCGGTTTGAACAATCCCACTTATCCGAGTCTTGTTTTATTAGTGGAACTCTTATCCGTAAGATTAGTGGGTTGTTCAGCCCTTAATGCAAAGTCTAGATCCATGTCGTCAAGAATGATACGAACATTCTTTTCCCAGCCCTTAAATTTTGGGAATTGATGTAAACAGATGTTGCAAAAGTGGTTGGATTAATTGAATAGAGAGCTTGAACCTAATTAACTTGTTCACATGGACATCCATATTGATCAATCAATAAATACAAATAATGGTGGGCCCCATCATAAGAGATCATACACAACATTGACATTTTGCCTTGGGACATAAATATCAACTTGTAAGTGATACGCTTAGTGTAATAATCAAATATTGACAATAAATTGTGTCAAACATCAGTCTATCCTTGAACCGACTCAATGTTCTCATAAAAAGATACTTTATAATTGTCACATATTTATTACTACATGTGTGCAAATAATTCGGTCAAATATTGACGTTTATTTGGATCAATTAATACTCGCATGAATTACGTACACAACCTTTCTAATATATCAAATAAATTAATTTAGACAAAAGTGTTTACTTTGGTAACATGTTTCAATTAATCTATTTTAGAAAATTAGTAATCCGAAAGAAACTTTTGTACCAAGATTTGAATTTGATTGCCCTTAATCTTTCAATTTTTTTAATTTTTCTTTTTTTTTTTTAAAAAAAAAAAATTCTGAACAGAGGCTGCGGCCAAGGCCCTACAATACCTTGGTAGTACCCTGGCAACGTTGCGGCACTGGGAAACTAGCGCCGCGGCGCAGCACTTCGGCTGCCCCAGTTCATCTTTTTCCCATAAATTTCCCAAAAAAATTCCAAAATTTTGAAATTTAGGGCTCGAAATTCACATTCCGAAATTGAGAAATCCAAAGTATGAATTTCAACCCTAAATTATTTTTTCTTTATTCTCAATGGTTTAACATGGAGTTGTCTCTAATATTAATTGTTAGAATTTTATGAAACTCTAAATCTTAAGAATTTGAAAACCTAATTACTTTATTGCCAAGATCATACGATTAAATCATCACGAGAATTATTAAATGCGGAACATACCTTAATTCATTGGGAATAATTCTTTATTACTGGATCTTGAATCTTGAAGATAAACTGCAATCTCTTCATGTTTGGTTTCTTGATCTTTAATTTTGAACATTGGCTCTTTTAATTCTTGAGTTGTTCTTGACTTACGCTTCTTGCTCCATAATATTGATTGTCTCATTTTCTCCTTTTTTTTTGTTAATTTCCTATTCATGATTATGGGTTTGGATCTTCTTTTTCAATATATTTTCTCTTATATTTTTGTATTGATGAGATGACACAAAGAACAAGAATTACACATGAATCATCAAATACAACCTTAATGAATTCGGTCTCCACGCATATTTAGCCCACACTTTATTTAGATGCCCAAAGCCCAATATCTCAAATTCCTTATGGGATCACTTTAAATGACTTAACTTTAAGTTAGTCTTTATACGCAATTAATTACATATGTAGACCTGCATGACAAATTAATATTTTCCCAACATATACGTGTTGTATGATTTTCAGTTTATCAGGGAAATTGCCTGGGTTTGTTGATATGGAATCCATTGAGGAAAATGTCGACCTTGAATCTGAAGAGGAGATCCCATTTAACTCAACTCAGCCAACAAACAAAAGCCAATCTTTCAATTTTGAGGCAATCCATGTCATTTCACCCTCAAAAGTTTCCTCTTTATCAGGCTTAAGAAAGATGCAGATCAGTCTGCTTAGGAGTATCTACATCGTCTTAATCAAAGCAAAGATAAACGTTTTGCTTCCATTTGGGCCCATTGCAATAGTGCTGCACTATCTTAGCAAGAAACATGTAAGAACTATAAAACTACCCTGGTAATTTTATATATGTCCTATTCATTAGGAAAGGGTTATGCTGAAAAGTTTTTGATACATTCCCTCTTAACATCAGTATGCGTAATTTTTGGACATTGTTTATTTTAGGGATTTGTCTTCTTCTTCAGCTTAGTGGGCATTACTCCTTTGGCGGAGCGTCTGGGTTATGTGACTGAGTAAGTGTTCAGAAGTGGAGTTTATGCTTTTGCATGACATTTTTCATTTTCTTTTATCTTTGAAATGAACTAATATTCCTGTGCTTAACATTCTGTTGCAGACAGCTTGCATTTTATACGGGGCCTACAGGTAGTGTTATCTACATTTATTTTCCTTATTCCTTTTAAAGTTCTTAGTAAATTTACCTTCAAAGTGGCCCATTGATGCTCAAAGTCTCCTGGTTAGAATGTGAACAGTTTTTGACATTACAATATCAAGAGGAAAATATTGCTTGAAAGAACTAATGTTTTATATTTGCTTCATTTACCCCATGAACTGCCATCCTATTGTGTATATGGTGCTTATGGCAGATAGATTTTCAAACTTTAGACTGAAATGCATTCGGAAAATTCCTTGCCAGTTGCATTTTGGGAATATTTCAACTCAAAGGTATGAGGAGGTGTTGACCTTTTTCCTCCAGCTATAGCAGGGCTTAATAAAGTATAGTGGTTGGAAAATTTATTAGATATCTTGAAAAAGGAAAAGATTAAGGTCGTACAAGAATTTGAAGAGTATTTTGACGATGAAGATTAGCATTGGTATAGAATTTATTAGGATACTCGTTGTGGATTTTTTTTCAAAGCTAAGCAACCTACTTGTATTGTCATTATTGTTGGTGGAGGCAGGATTGATTAAATCACTATATATTCATTAGGGCTTAAAAGTTATATCAAATGAGAAGTTCACGTAAGTGTTGATACCAGAGCGTATCTTTAAAGGATGTTATTTGTATGTTAACAAGTATGTATATTGCTGCTCTGGCTACTTGACCTGGTGGAAGAAAGCTTCAGGTGGATGTAACAAGTTATACTTTCAAAGCACTTTCGTAACAATATCAACATTGTATTTTTCTTTTATAAATCTTTTAGGGTCAGCAGTTCCATCAACCAAACGATTTTAGCGGGCAATTAACCTGTCTACCTGCGGTGCATGGATGAAGGTTCTGATGGTGATTCTACTTTACTGGTGTATGAAATCACACTGTCGGATCCAGGACTCAAATTGTAGCGAAGAAGTCCGTATCCCTTGTTCATATAAAGTGAGTCCCACATGAAGAAAAGCTTGGAGGATATGCGGAAAACCTTATTGTTCAAAGTATTTACTGAGAAGTTGCTGTAGATGCAATATTGGAGATGCATTGCAAGTTGCATACTTTTGCCCCTAGATGGTGAACATAATTTGGTGGTGGCAATGGTGTTTGGGGGATGGGTTGGGGACCCAGCTCCCTGTCCTTGCTCTTAGCAGCTAAATTAGGGGTGGATATGGTTCCAAGAGACCGAACCGAATCATGAACCAATGATTTTTTTTTTTTTAAATAATGGAACCAAATGGTTTTTTTCTAAGATATGGAACCCCAGACCTAACTGAACTTAACCATTCGGTTCTGGTTTGATTCTAGTTTTATTTCTTAAATTTTTGGACTTACACCATATCCATTAAGTTAGTAATATATTCCCAAGTAAAAAAAATGAATAAACATCAATCATTTAGCAAGTTTAAATTATCAATCCTCAAGATCGCAAAAGTCCAAACTAATAAACAAAATATAGTCATAATTTGAATACACAAATCAGTTTTAATCCCCATACAAAAAGATTGTTTAATAAGTAATAGCAATGATTCACTAAATTAATTGCAGCAGTTTTGACGGCACACCTCCACAATAATGGTTGAATTATACAAAGTTTTTATAGTCCACTTTTATAGACAATCATTAACCGTTTAATACCATGTTTATTGAATTTTCCTCTATTTGTGAATAAATCAAATAATTCATCAAAGAAGTAAGGTAAAAAAATAGTTTAAAGGCTTTTTAAGTGGTTGACCAATTTCATTTTCAGATCCTAAAATAGTTTCCTCCACCGATGTGATAAAATGCGGAGCCAGCGTGCCGCGACGTTGTATAAACTGAAAAGGAATAAAGGAGAAATTATTCAAATAAATACAAAATTAGGGTGTACAAAATTAATGAGCTGTCTTTTAATGATCGAGAACCGATTGATGGGTTGTCTCCAATGAATACAAAAATAGGGTCTCCACGAATTAATTATTAATATATATAAAAAATAAAATTAAACATTAAGTTTGATTCTGGTTCTTGGTTCTCGAACAAGAACCGAACCAAAACCATAACCATAAACAAATGGTTCTTGGTTCAGAAAACCAAAACCATAAATTTTTTTGTTAGAATCGAACTGAACTGCTTGGAAGGGTTTGTAAAATAGAACCTCATCCTGCTATATACCACTTCTTTTGCCACTGATTATTGTGTAGCTGTCACTGATTAATTATGTCCTGTGATGACACATTATGTGAAGTTCACTAAACAATTTTCTCTAAGCAAGGAAACGGAGAAGGCGAGATGGTCACTTTTTCTTTTCTTCATTTCTTGTTCAATCAATTTGACTCACTTGACATAGAGCAGATGAAAACTGATTGTCAAAAGTCTCTGCTAAGATATTGTTCTAAGAAATGCCAAATGATTCGTTTTGAAGGAGATAAAAGGATGTTGGATTGTCTCTTGTTAGTTATGCTAGATTATTTCGATTGCTTATTGGGCTGTGTTTCTTCTCTTATTCACCAAATTGAATATAGTTTGACTTGGAAATATCATTTCAGCTGGAGTTGGGAACATTAATGTTTGATATATGCTGGAAATCAACTTGTGTCAGACATTTCGTTACGGACACGTCTCATATTTTTTTCATATGTTTCCAGTGTTTGCACAAAAAACTTCCAGTAGGATGATTATACATTCTTTTGATTTACACACATTTTCACCTTACTATGATTACAAACATATGATTATATTTAGACTAGTAGATTTCACTTCATCATCAATACATTTTTGTTGAAACTGCAGTGGGGGGGCTCCTAAACGCAACCTTTGGCAATGCTACTGAGATGATAATTTCGATATATGCATTGAAGAATGGGATGATAAGGGTCGTTCAGCAATCATTACTGGGTTCCATATTGTCCAATATGCTTTTGGTGCTTGGATGTGCCTTCTTCTGCGGTGGCGTGGTTCATCGCCAGAAAGTACAGAATTTCAATAAGGTGGTGGATCATGCTATTCGGACTAATACATTTATGATTGAAATCTCGATGGATTGAACACTTACTTTATGTTTTCTACTTTGTTTGTGGGAGCAGAACCCACTGTGCCTATTAATGTTCTTCCCCTAGCCTGAGTACAGAAATGCTAATATGTGTCAAAAATGTTTCAGGCAGCTGCCCTGGTGAACTCAGGTTTGTTATTAATGGCCGTCATGGGTTTATTATTTCCAGCAGTTCTGCACTTTACTCATACGGAAGTGCATAAAGGCAAGTCAGAGCTAGCTCTTTCGCGATTTAGCAGCTGCATAATGCTGATTGCATATGCAAGCTATCTTTTCTTTCAGCTCAAGAGTCAACCAAATCTGTATGGTTCTCTTGATGAGGTGAGTATCTCTTTTTTATCCTTTGTAGAAACTGGTAGTGTTTAGAGTTCTTATAGCATAAATATTACATAAGCAATCCTGCACATTTTTCAATTTATTCACACATTCATTTGCGAAAAATTTATTTGGACCGTGGATTTCATCGACCTGATTTAACTTCTCTGGCATTTGTCACAGCTGAGGGAGAATAATGAAGATTCTGATGAAGACGAGCCCCCTGAGATTACCCAGTGGGAAGCAATTGGGTGGCTTGCTATGTTGACACTGTGGATATCAGTTTTGTCTGG